CTACCGAGACCTTGAAGAGGACCATTGAGGCCAACACCTTGGATGGCCGGTTACTGGCACGAGTCACCTCCAGAACCGGACCAGTCTGGTTGCTCCTGTCAGGTAACCACTCAGAAGAAATAGCATTTTTGATTATCCATTCCCCCCATGTTCCTAACATTTTAGGCCACACCTGGCTTGTAAAACACAACCCCACCATTGATTGGAGTAAGGAGAGGGTTATCGGGTGGAGCGGGCATTGTCATGCCAATTGCCTGAGAACTGCGCCCTTCCCAAAAGATTTCGGCCCGGGTAAGGACGTACCACCTCCTAATCTTGCTCAGGTTCCCAAGGAATATCACAACATCGCGGAGGTGTTTAGTAAAAAGCAGGCTCTATCATTACCACCCCATCGGCCCGACAATTGCGCTATCCAGTTGATTCCTGGTGCCACTTATCCAAAAGCCTGCATGTATAGCATCTCACAACCAGAACGGGAAGCCATGGAGACTTGCATCAGAGACTCCTTGGCTGCGGGACGCATCCGACACTCATCCACGCCCTTAGGATCAGGTTTTTTTTTGTGGGCAAGAAGGATGGGACCCTTCGGCCCTGCATAGACTACCGGGGCCTTAATGACATAACCGTTAAGAATAAGTAACCCTTGCTGAACTCTGCCTTTGACTCCTTTCAGGGAGCAGCTATTTTCTCCAAGCTGGACCTGCAGAACGCCTACCACTTGGTGAGGATCAGAGAGGGGGATGAATGGCTGACTGTTTTTAACACCTCATTGGGATATTTTGAGTACTGTCATGCCGTTTGGCCTAACCAATGCATCGGCAGTTTTCCAATGCTTGGTGAATGATGTGTTGAGGGACATGATTGGGCGTTTTGTATTTGTATACCTTAACGACATCCTTATTTTCTCCAGGAGTACTACAGAGCACCGCCTACATGTCCGCCAAGTGCTCATCGACTGCTGGAGAATCAACTGTTCGTTAAGGAAGAGAAATGAGTTTCACGTTCAGTCTGTCCCATTTCTAGGCTACATCATCTCTTAAGGACAGGTCCGAATGGACCCAGCGAAGGTGGCAGGGGTGCTTGAGTGGCCGAGACCTGAGACCAGGAAGGCCCTTCAGAAGTTTCTGGGATTCGCCAACTTTGACAGACATTTTATTCGACAGTACAGTCGGGTGGCAGCACCCTTGACAGGCCTCACTTAAACTGTTAAACCTTTTATTTGGAGTCCTGAAGCGGAGCATGTGTTTGTCGTGTTGAAGGAACGGTTCACATCGGCCCCTATTCTCTCCCAGCCAGACCCGGCAGTTTGTGGTTGAGGTGGACTCGTCCGATGTGGGAGCGGTGCAGTCTCAACGGTCAGACAAGGACGGTAAGCTCCACCCATGTGCCTTTTTATCCCACCGTTTGTCTCCAGCGGAGGCCAATTATGATGTGGGGAACCGGGCGCTGCTCGCAGTGAAGATTGCCTCTCCACTCCCTCCAGCCAGTGACTCCACTCCTCCAATGCAGTTAGTCGTGTGGACAGATCATAGAAACTTTGAATACGTGCGGTCCGCCAAACTACGCAACTTCCGGCAGGCCAGGTAGGCATTATTCTTTGGACGTTTTAACTTTTGCCTAACCTACAGACCTGGCTCCAGGAACGGCAAGCCCAACGCGCTGTCTCGGGTCTTCAACAAGGAGGAGACTCTCAATAAGGTTGACACCATAGTACCCAAGGAGTGCATTATCTGGGCGGTACTTTGGAAAATTGAGGAGGTGAAGAGTGCTATCCTGAATGACCCTGGACCAGGTAACTGACCACCGGGTCGCCTGTTCGTACCAGAGGCGGTCAGACCGGCTGTACTTAAGTGGGCACACACCTCCCACCTCACATATCACCCGGGCTGGCCTTTTTGAGGAGACTCTTCTGGTGTCCGGCAATGGGAGAAGACGTCAAGAAGTTTGTGTCAGCCTGCCCGACCTGTGCTCAGAACATGGGGTCCACCCAACCCAGTGCTGGCTTGTTACATCCCTTACCGATACCTCGACGGCCATGGTCCCACCTGGCCTTGGACTTCATCACGGGGCTCCCGCGGTCGGAAGGTAACACGGTCATTCTTACAGTGGTAGATCGTTTTCATGCAGGCAGGCCAGCCCCCCCTTATACCGTGGGGGATAGGGTTTGGTTGTACACTAAGGATCTGCCTCTGAGGACAGAGTCAGGAAAGCTATCCTTCAGGTACATCGGTCCATTCCCGATTGTCAAGATCATTAACCCCTCTGCCGTCGGATTAAAACTGCTACTAACCCTCAGTCCATTCCACCTTTCATGTATCCCATCTGAAACCGGTTTTGTTGAGTCGCCTCCTCCCCCCACCTCCTCTGCCGCTGCCCCGGATCATTGATGGGGCTCCTGCATACACGGTGCAGCGCATCCTGGATTCTTTATGTGCCAGGACTTCGCCTGAGTCTACCGTCGTCCACCCTGCTGGACTCTTCCCCACCAAGCCCCAGAAACCAGAACGTCTCGGACTACTGGTGTTTTTGGATCTTTTGTGAATAAACTTTATTCTCCCCACCAATCCAGTCTGTGTTTGGTTCCTGTTCGAGCTTGACATGACAAAGCTGCCCAGAACCATTTACCTTCCTATTCAGATAAAAAGTACACCAATTGATCCATTGCTAAATTCGGACTACTGCAAAATCTTACTGCTCACATGTAAATCACTACATGGTTTAGGGCCAAAATATATCACTGATATGCTTCCACTACATAAGCCTTCAAGATCACTAAGATCTTCTGACACCAATCTGATTTCCAGAGTAAATACAAATCATGGGAAAGCATAATTTAGTTACTACGCAACAAACAGCTGGAATAAACTTCCTGAAGATTTAAGACTTGCCCCAACTCTGACCATGTTTAAAACAAGACTGAAAACTTTTATGTTCAGCTTCGCCTTCTGCTAGATTTTACCTACATTGCAAGATTTTAATTTATAATTTTATTTGCTGTTTTTAATTGTCTTTTAATTCCTGCATTTTATTTCACTTTATTGTACTGTGGGAGGTGCTGCGGGAGTATGGGGTGAGGGGGTCCTTGCTTGGGGCCATCCAATCCTTGTACGCCCAAAGCGAGAGCTGTGTTCGGGTGCTCGGCAGTAAGTCGAAGGCGTTTCCGGTGGGGGTTGGCCTTCGCCAGGGCTGCCCTGTCACCAATCTTGTTTGTGGTTTTCATGGACAGGATATCGAGGCGTAGTCGGGGGAGGAGGGTCTACAGTTCAGGGGGCTGCGGATCTCATCGCTGCTTTTTGCAGATGATGTGGTCCTGATGGCATCTTCCGTCTGTGACCTCCAACTCTCACTGGAGCGTTTCGCAGTCGAGTGTGAAGCGGTCGGGATGAGGATTAGCGCCTCTAAATCTGAGGCCATGGTTCTCAGCAGGAAACCGATGGATTGCCTACTCCATGTAGGGAATGTGTCCTTACCCCAAGTGAAGGAGTTCAAGTACCTCGGGGTCTTGTTCACGAGTGAGGGGAAGATGGAGTGTGAGTTTGGCCGGCGAATCGGAGCAGCGGGGGCGGTATTGCACTCGTTTTACTGCACCGTTGTGATTAAAAGAGAGCTGAGCCGGAGGGCAAAGCTCTCGATCTACCGGTCAATCTTCGTTCCTACTCTCACCTATGGTCATGAAGGATGGGTCATGACCGAAAGAAATAGGTCACGGGTACATGCGGCCAAAATGGGTTTCCTCAGGAGAGTGGCTGGTGTCCCTTAGGGATAGGGTGAGAAGCTCAGCCATTCGTGAGGAGCTCGGAGTAGAGCCGCTGCTCCTTTGCGTCGAAAGGAGCCAGTTGAGGTGGTTTGGGCATCTGGTGAGGATGCCCCCTGGGCGCCTCCCTAGGGAGGTGTTTAAGGCACGGCCAGCTGGGAAGAGGCCTTGGGGAAGACCCAGGACTAGGTGGAGAGATTATATCTCTGCACTGGCCTGGGAACGCCTTGGGATCCCCCAGTCAGAGCTGGTAGATGTGGCCTGGGAAAGGGAAGTTTGGGGTTCCCTGCTGGAGCTGTTGCCCCCGCGACCCGACCCCGGATAAGCGGTTGAAGATGGATGGATGGATGGATGTATGAAATGTTATGACGTGAAGCACTTTGAGTCTGCCTTGTGTATGAAAAGCGCTATACAAATAAACTTGCCTTGCCTAAATATCTTGGCTAAATATCTAAATATGGCCCCCGGCTGCTACTCTGTCAAGCTGTTAAGAGTTACCCTGCTGCCCAAACTGTCACCAACTGCACTTCTTGCATAAATATCATATTTTTTTCAGAAGTAGGCTGAAAAAGAGGGAAGCGAAAGTCTATGGATCAGTGTAAAGGAGAACCACCACATCAACTGGAGATGGAGACTAAATAAAACAAGTAAAGGAACACCACTATGCTTGTAAAGTCAACGGCTACATTGCAATCATGTGTAGCATGTGTAGACCTTTACCTTCATTAGTTAGCATAGCACAGAAGTGACGCGGCTAATTATAGCTGTATCACGTAGAATCGTTTTGTTTTAGAAACTGAACTTTTATTCTAGAATCTCTACTTAATAAGTATCACTATTACACAATGTTTAATCAGCTGTCTACATAGCTACGCAATGAGAGGCTAGTCTGTTTGATTTAGCAGGAAAAATACCACCCAATCTGGTGTTGCATCCTAAAGCTCTCACGCCTTAAGCAGCATTATATATGTATAAAACATAACTGAAATCTTAAAATAACCAAAAATTGGTTGGCAGAAAATGCGTATTAAGAAATGGATTGAGAAATGTGCTTTCAGGGCCTCTAATCACTGCAAAATGACCCCGGTTCACCCCTGCAAACCACATGAGTTGCCAAAAATATTGTTTTCCATCTAGCCTTCATGACTAAGTGTTAAATACATTGTGCATTAGGCAGATTGAATTACCTGGCCATTTAGATAAAGTGAACACTCTTCTCAGACAAAAAAACTAAAAGAAACATCACCTGCACCGCTGACCAGCTCTTTCGCTCGGCTGTGGAGAAAGAAAACAAATGTGTGAGAAAAACCGTTCCCACAAGTTAGTAGCTTCAGTTCAGTCGCTCACTTCAGAATGACATACTATCTTACTGTCTAGGTTTTGATGGGAATGGATTTGTTTTTTATTATTCATAGGGCCATCAGTGTTCCAGCAAGTGTCTCTTTGATGAGATGTGTGAGGCTGTAGCAGCCGTAGGAAAAAGTGAGCTGTGTGACTGTGGTGACAGCTGAGAGTGACTGCAGCGTGGCTCACTTATCCAGGCTCGGGGAGCGGCTGAGGAGGTTGGCCGAGGACGCCGCCTTCTTGTCCAGACGTTTCCTCTGCTTCTCCGGGTTCCCCAGTTTTTCGCTGTTCCTACGAACCCTGGAAGACCAGATGACAGAAATACCATTCAGGTTCTAGCGGTAAACACCGCATGAGAATAAATCTTATGCAGATGCATGCAGCTATCCCACCAGTTAAGCATGCAAAATGGTAGTTTATTGATATTTTGCAGATGTAAATATAGTGTGAACAGACAGACGCATGCAGTTTTTTGTTTGATATGTTTGGAATTGTCAACAGACTTAATTCTAATAAAAGGGATAAATCCGCTTTTTTGTTTTGGCAAACTTTACTCTCTGTAAAAATTGCATTCTACTTACCAACGTAACCAACCTTTCTACCTATTAGTTACGGCTGCTACGCATATATAGAGCTTTTCCAGTTTAGCCGTTTACAATGATGATGCCGGCATATTTGCCATATAGTAAATGCAGCAGTAAATGCTACTGTTGATGGCAGATATGATCAACTCTGGCAGAGATGCTTAAGAAAGTCGACTGAATAGACAAACAGACAAAAACATGAGTAACAAGAACTGAAACAGGTTGTTAAACTGTCAAAACGTCTTCTAGACAAGAAAGTACACTTTTGTTCACCTTTCTTTCTCTTTCAAAAAGGTTTGGTTGAACGAGAGGTTTGTTTACAATCTGTCTGATCAGTGCAAACAACTCAAATTACCTTTTACCTTTCTTGGGACCCAACCTGTTTCCAGATGACAATGTATTGTACTACAAGTGTTGTAATGCTAAAACAAATTACTACAACAAAAGTCACTACACCGGCCACATGTTGAAGAAGTGAAACTCTGCTCCCAAATCTCTCTGCTATAACTCTTAAGTCAAAGTGAGTATAGCGGGCTGAGCAGGGATACGTGCCTTTCCCAAGCTGAGCAGAGGGACCAGAGCACATGTTACCCATCGCAAGCAAAACCCATTTACAAGCCACAACAAGAAAGTCAGGCAAAAAATGCATGCACTAGCACATCACACACACACACACACACACACACACACACACAAAGAAGCAGTGCTTTGGCACTGTGCTTCCTCGTCACTTCAAAGGAAGGCTGTTGTTTGAGAACCAAACCTAGCGTGCAAGAGATCCTTGATTTGTTTGAGGAAGACATTGTTAGAAGTGTGGTTGAAAAAGAGCCTTAAAACCATCAAGATTTCAGGCAGCTTGTGTGTTTCTGCAAAGTCCAGTTGAATCTCAGATCCTTAGTGGCCCTGTGTGAGTTCTGCACACCTGCGTTGTCTTACAAAACCATCGACCGAACACTTTGTGGCTACAGTGAAGTTGAAAGCCGGAGGATGGATGGAGGGACATTAAATCTGATGCTGTTAGGGGCAAATATGAAATTTCAAAATATTCCTTCAAATGTTACATCTTTAAATCGAGCAAACCCCCTGTTGACCTTTCCCGATCACTTAAGTGTTTAAATTCTGTAACCCTAGCCCCCTTTGTGCAGTAGGCTGTTCAATTACCTTTGTGTTAAATTTTCCATTAAGTTTGAAAATGTGTGCCGTGAAGCTAATCTTAGATATGTTACTCAGTGTGGACGAAGCTGTAGCGAACATGACGTCAGGCTCATCCTCTGACCCTAGCAACCTGGGGTTTGCAGTCACACATATCAGAATCAAGAATCTTTGAGATTAGTCATTAAAAGCCATGCGATCAATCTCAAGAGACAAGGTGATTATGGAGACGGTGGTGGGGAGGGTGGCAATATCACCCACAGCGGTTTCTTCTCTCCTTCCTGGATGGGGGACAGGGGGCCGGAGCGGGAGCTGAGGTTGGAGTCTGAGGTTCTGACCGATGTCGAGGGTGAGGCCAGTTCCTCTGGGGAGCAGCTCCTATCCTGGCAATCGTCCCTCTGGAGGCATCTGATCGTTGTGGGCTGAATAGGCTCCTCCACAGACGACGTCCAACTCAGCTCCTTTTCCTGTTCCCCTCCTCCTTTTTCTTCTTCCTCCTTATCTTCCTCTTCACAGCCGGGGACACGATGCAGCTTGGCCAGTGTCCCCTCAACCAAAGGCTTCCCCGAAGGGAGGGCGTCCTCGAGTTGCAGGCTCTCGGCACGCTTGGGGAGAGGGACCCTTTTCTGGCCAGTGTCCTGCCCTGGGAGGGCGGGCTCTGTCTGGGTTGACCTGTCTTGTGTTGCGGGTCTGGGTCTTGGCGTCATGGACACTGGGCTTTCTATGTGGCCATTGGCATTGGTCACAATGCTGTCTGACAGTTGACTAGAGATAGTTAAAAGGTTGAGGTCAACAAGAGTCATCAAATTACACATCATATGAACACAAACAAGCTTCTGAACGGATCAGCATGCCTTTGATGTAGCAACAATACAGTTAGGAAATAAATGATGACCACTAATCATTCCTGCTGTTGTTCTGAGCCCTTATTGTGATGGTCCAGTACCTGGTTGTGGAGCGGATTCCATCAATGGCTGAGCTGGAGGAAAGTCTTGTGCTACCTGTCCAACACACTTGGTTCAGCACCCCAGCAGCACTTGGGTTCACTAGGTGGGACAAAAGTGGATTATTTATTGATTGACGTCGTATGAGTGTTGTTTCCCTAAAGAAAAATTGGGGTTTGAGTTTGGACATTTCATTGTTTGATTTATTTGAGTTGAAGTATACTCGATGTCCATGGTTAGATTTCTTTATTGACGATGTACAATAGTTTGCATGTCTTTGCATATGTAATAGTATAGTGGGAAAAACCCTGGGAAATGTTCTACCAGCCATTGTACCGTGAGCATGTTGAGGATCACTCACCTGCAATGAGCTGCTGTTTCAGTAACGGTAGAAGCTGATCATGGAGGCGAAGCTTACGCAGGGCGTCGGCCAGCGAGGACTTGAGCAGCGTGATCTCGTCCTCCTGTGCCTGCAGACGCACCTCCATCATGGAAGCTCGATCCGCAAAGTCGGCACTGCCATCTGCAGATGCGTCGTCTGAAGAAGAGACCGTAAGGTGTGTCAAGATTGCAGGGCTCATTGTCCAAAGTATGGATGGAATGAGCTGAACAAGCTCATCAGGAGTTATCGGTTTCATCTTATCAACAATACCACTTCCATAAAAAGCCAAAGAGGATCTTTGAGCAGCGTGTTGTTAAGCAGCAATAAGGTAAAAGTTTAACACAAGTAGAGATCATGTTTGTTTGGTTTGTTGGAGCGCTCATCTTATCTTGGGCTTAAATCAAATGAGTTCAGTCAATTTGGAACAATCTGCAAGAAACTATTATAATTAGAATAATTTCATTGGCAACCAATTAGAGTAACATCTGCAATTGTACATTGTAGCTTTGCAGGCCGTTTTTCTTTTTTAATCTGGGTCAAGTGAATAAAAAACTTGAAGTCTAGATATTTCAAAACGCAGAGTTTGTGCAGGATTTGCAGCGTCACGCTACTGAAGCTTCTCTGTGACCGATCAATGGTCGGCAGAGTTTAACCCGACCTTCGGGTACCGGCTCAGCTCACTAGCAACATTGACTGAGATGGTACCAAAACATTTTGTTTTGCGAATGGAAAATCCAAAATGTTCAGTTAAGTAAGCGCTGACAATCACGGACACTGAAAACCTTTCTATAACGCCCCAACCACTAAAATCACAACAGGTCTTCACCGTTTGAAAAGACTATCCAAAGGTTTTATTGTTAGTGTTGTGTGTACATTTGAATTACGGTTTGAGTTCGAGGTTAGGCATAGAGATATGATGGTAGGTAATGGGCTCGCTAGTGCATTTTGTCAACAGTGCTCACAAGAACAGAAAGACAAACAAAGGAATTAAACACAACACCAGCAAGGAGCTTTTTGAACACCGAGGCACCTCTGCCAGAGATATTAACGGGACCCCCCCGAATCTCCAGGTACGGCCTTCTGATGGTTTGTCAGAAATTCCTTGAGGACAACCAAAAGTCCTTCTCCGTGGCCTCAGCGAACTCCTCCCATGCCCCAAGTTCAGCATCCACAACCACCACAGCTGTGGGCCTTTTGTTCAGCTGGTACCCCTCAGCTGTTTCAGGAGACCCAGGAGAGCCAACCAGGCCTGAACGGCCCTCTTTTTCAACTCGACAGCTTCCTTCACCCCCGGTTCTCTTTTCTGTTCCCAGAGACAAAACTTAACATGGAGAATCTGGAATAAACTCAGAGAAAAGCTGCAGGTCTGCTGAGACTCTCTGCTGGTGTAAATTAACACACAAGACTTTTCTGTTTAACCAGATTCAAGCTTTTTACTGTTTATTTTATGAACTGCACTGCAACTTTTGTTCTGGTTTATTTTTTTAATTTGGATGTTTCAATCAATGTTCACTTCAAACAACCTTTCATCAATATAAAGCAGTGATTGTAATCTGAACTAACTTTTAACCTTTAAAACACCAAAATATCACTAACCATCTAACTGATCAGCAACTCTCATTTTCTGCGGAGGTTCATAATGAAAACACAGAATGATGTGTCACTTAACAGCACTAGAAGGTTTTATGATTTGGTCTGACCAGAAATGAGCTGACAAACAATAGAAGCCATAGGTAATAATAAATCACACCACTACCATCACTGAATGCTTGGTTGTCAACACAAAGAGGAATGCTGCCGTATCATATTACTTTTACACACAATGGAATGTTCTCTCAGATCATTGATGAAATTGTCATGTTTACTTTGTATAAACATGTTTCAAACTGAAAAAGTAGGTCCTTGATGTCCTTTCTGAGGAACTATACTGCAAGCAGAGAGTCTTCCTCCATGCTCCACTGGAAGATTTCATCAGCTGTTGATGGATGTTAATGATCCGCCCATTTATTAGTTATTTGTCTCAACCTGTCTCTTCCACAGCACTTAAGAAGTTGTCATTAGAATTCCAGCTGAAAGTGCACAAGGAACTAACCGTCACATTCAGTGTTTTTTGTTTTCACCTGCTCAGCTCACTTTTCTAAGATCTAATAGACTTATAGACAAAACTTTCACCAAGATGAGTGAAAGAAAAAGTTTTTAAAAATTGATTTAGGTTATTGCAATTATAGGTCAGTTCTGGATTGGCCTTAAATATAAAGACAATGCAAATGAGACAAGAATTAGTAGTTTTAGATTTACTTCTTTTCAAACGGATTTCCCCTAAAATGTTATCTTAAATTTTGAACTACTGACTGAAAAATGATACAATTTTGTTATTTTTCCACACACAGTTCCACACTGACATGAACATGGCGCGAATATGTAATATGTGGCGCTCGCAGCAGCGGGGCAGAGAGCACCAGAGTGACTGTAACCGTCATCGCCAGGTGATGTCAGTGCCTCTGCCTGAGCAGCCACAGGCCTCATGGAAGTTCTGGCAAACCAGGGTTATGATTCAATGTGGCTCCCAAGGAAATTTTCCTTTGTTGGAACTGATTCACTGAGAAAGGCATTTTATCATCAGCGCTGTTGCAAAACATCTGGAGCTGATCCAGAAAGCCAGTGCAGGAAATGTTCCCTCCACAATGAAGCCCTATTAGCGAATAGGATAACAAAGCAAAACGTGTGAGCAAGTAGAGTAGAGCTTGAGTAGAGCTCTCCTCTAACCAGACATGCTCCATGTCTCCGAGGGAGAGTTCACACACAAGCTTGCGTAGAAACGTCTGGCCTGCAGCGGGCGCGGGAAAGAGGAATTGTTTGATGAAGTGGCACAAGAAGCGACTTGGTAACTTCCAGGGAGGCCACACACACGGGGCGGGGTCAACAAGGTGCTGGAGCTCCAGGTTCTAGAGAATATAACTGAAGGTTAGCAACTGTTTAGGCTCATGGTTAAACTTCAGTGAGGCTTTGTTGTTTCAGAGTCAGTACAAAAACCTCCAGATGAATTCTCAAATAAAAGAAACCACTAATCCACGATATTTGTCAGTAACCACCACTCTCCTTCTGTTACTTTCGCTTTTCATTCAGAAATTCATTCAAACGGCTAACTTCTACAGACTTTTACAGTAAAGTCTATATTATATGGTTTTGGAAATGGGTCCTAAATATTTATTGTAATCATTATCATCTATTGTAAGTCCTCTAGCATGTGCTGACGGTTCCACTCTGGGCCATTCCTGCACCGTGCACACTTTAAGAGGGATTGGCAGGGACTTTAACAGCCATCCGAAACCGTTGTCTCTAAACACTACCTGATGATAAACAATTTAAACATTCCGAACCCTCCTTTTGTGAGGGGCTGAGAAAAGCAGAAACACATGCTGAAAGTTAACTTCCCAATCCGGGCCTCCTTCTTGTCTGAGGGGAAAAAAAGGGCCGACATCAGTCATTGAGGAGCATCAAAGACCATCAAACATCATTTGCAGATAAACAAGTTCCCCTTTAGAAACCCAGATGAACCTCATACAATAGAGAGAAAGTGACGTTACATTACTCTCAAAGCTTTATTGTAAGCAGATCTTCCTCCAGATCCTTGTTCTTACTTCCAATGTGGGTTTGCAGCAGTTTTGAATTGAAAAAATGTATGTATAATGTTCATTTTCAGGGTTATTTGAATATATCATCAAATACTTTAACGATCAAAAAAATAAGAACTTTAGTCACCAGGTGACAAAATCAGCCTAAACGGCATGATGCTGCAGCGCTCTAAGGGCTTCCGTGTGGCGTTCAAACACTCACATCCCATCTGGGACCTGGTCAATTCGCATTTCCTTCGTTTAGTAATTGTATTTTTTAGGTTTTTGGTGTCTTTGGGTTGGAGAGGTGGCTTATTTAAATGTGCATCTGGCACCTACTCGGCCCAATAAAAGCATTGTATTTATTTCGTAAACCTCTGGACTTCAATATCTTATATACTTTTCAGCTATGAAAAGCTAAGAATTCTGCTCCTGTAGCTTCCGTACAATGTGCGTTCTGAAAAGTTGAGAATCACCCATGTTCTATTAAACCAAAACCAACAGAAAAACCACCATGAGGCAGAAATCTCACCATTGTGTGATTGTCCACTCAAAATTGTTTTCCGTCCACTCAGTGACGTACCGGATGTTTTAAACGTTCTGCTGTGGCAAATGTGGACTGGTTCTAGAGGCTTTGAGCGATCAAAGCTCATTGACGCATCTTCAAAAGAGATCAGACGTCAGTCCAACCATATTCTTCTTTGCTGTGAAGTTCTCATGAGCTGCAGCTATATTAGACACACGTGCATGTTAAATCAATGCTGTGGTCTGGCCATAAATCATCTTTGGGACCTAACTGTCCCCAGCTGGCTTCAGCGCTTCGGGCCGATGAGATTCAGCATCGCACAGGGATCCCTGCTGAGGAGCATTTACCTTCTTTGGGCCACGCCCCGGAGGATACGAGATACCGCATGCTGGAGACCGGCCAGCGGCACATTCAACACTCACTGGGTTTTCATGTGCAGCATGACACAAAATGACGCATGCAGGAACTAAAATATGATATTAACCTACAAAGTTGTGGAATCTATAAAGCACGTTCTGCAACTAGTGTGTTTATACACACGAGGTTTAAACAATACAAGGCTGAGGCGACTAGATTTGTTTAGGGACACACATGAAGACCCTGCTGGACCAGGGTAAATCAATTATTATATATAGACACAAGCCACCAAATACTTCCCTCATATGGAGCTTTAAGGCCTTATGTGAAAATCAAGGGGATATTATGAAGAGCCTGAGACAGGAAGACGCTGGAAAAATATAGTGCAGTCAGCAAAACCTACAGGACAGGGTCCCATCATATAATACACTCCTGGATGAGATCTTTCCCTTTTAGAGGTTGAATCTTACAATGCAGTGGTGGTCCCAACATGATGACCTTGTTTTATATTAATGGTCCCTGGTAGCAACCGGACACCTGTGAGTGCTCATTTAGCAGTTCTAAATAAATGTCCCAGTATCAAATTTATGGACAGTGACGGTGAAGTTAGGGGAAGACGTAGCCGAGAGCTGGAGTTATTTGAAAATCCCCAAATAACT